TCGCTGGAACGCCCTCTCTGTAGACCAGACTGGCCTCAAACCCACAGAGATCCATCTGCCTACCTCTGCCTCCCAAGTGTGGGGATTCAAGGCATTATTTAATCTTTCTAAACAGCTATTTTTTCCATCTAGAAAATAGAGATAATATTAACACCTTCCCAGTGGGGTTATGAGAAGCATTAGACAAGATTTCTATAAAAGATTAAGGGCTACCTAGCACATATGAAACACTCGTGACTGCTGTTCATGACTAACAGTGGCTGCTTTATGAACGAGATCCAGATCCAACCATTTCTTCTATAAGCTGCAACGCTTAGCCGTTCAAAATAACACAAACATGTGAATATATTTGGTATTTGCATGTATTTTAGAAATCGTTCCACGACAGACAGCATTGCACATCCAAATCCCGCTTTTGTCCTTTCCAATCCTAGGTACCCTCCCCCTCTCTGTGTTCTACAAGTGACCTCCCATGTCAGTTGCACAGAGCCCCTGTCCAGATGGTACCCATGATTCTGGTCCTGGGTGGTCGGATGCCTGGAGCGTAGCAATAGGTCCGCGGGGTGGGGTGTCTGGATCCCACAGGATGTCCTCATATTTGCTTTGAGCCAGGCCAGAGGGTCGCCCTTGAGCCCCAGTTTGTTCTAGGAGGGCTCTGACCAAACCCACTGTGAGAGGGGACTCTGCCCCAGGCTCAGGGAAAGGGTTGGCGGTTCCCACATCATCTGGGAGATGCGTCCTCAGTAAAAGCAGCAGCTCATCTGGAGCCACTTCTGGTGGGCACAGGCAGCAAAGGAGGGGGAGGTGAGCATCAAGGCTGCGGTGCCGGGCAAATTCTGCCAGCAGGAGCTTAAAGATCTCGCTCCGAAGCAGGGGGCTGGAGGAGTCCAGGGCCAGGCCGGCCTGCAAAACCTTTTCCCACTGCTCCTTCTCTATTAGCTGCCTCACGGCTTGCAGCACAGCCTTGGGCCGCCCACTGCCCAGAAGCAGCTCTAGTTCCAGGGCCTCGGGTCTCTTCCCTTCCTCACCCAGCACAGCTAGGGCTCGCCGATAAAGGGGCAGACTGGGGCCTTCGGCTGCCCAGCCTGGCCCACCTTGCTGCTGAGCCAGTTCCACAAATGGGGGGAGCCACTGAGGCTCTAGCTGGCATAGGCACTGACACAGGAGTTCAAAGGGGGGCAAGATTCCATTGGGGTGCTCCTTTCCAGCTGTTGGACCCCTCAGTATCTTCTTCCATACATCAGGGGGTGCCTGGGACCTCAGCCTGCCCGTCCTATCTGGCTGGAGCTGCAGGGCCTGGAGGGTGGCACTCCAAGCTGCTGTAGGAAGGGCTTGGAAAATGGTGTTGAATTGGACCAGGTGGTCGCCGGTCAACTGCGTTCTCAGCAGGCGTGCCACCTCATGCTCTGCCAGCTCGGTCCAGCCAGCCTCCTCCTCATCCCCGGCCACCAGCTGGGCCTTGAGCTGCTCCAAACTCCGGTAGTCCCGAAGCTCAGCCCTCAGCGTGGTCAACAGTGCAGATGGGGGCAGGTGGCCCTGGAGGATGGAGGCCAAGGCCTGAGGTGCCCGAAACATGCTGTTGTGTCTCAGCTCTTCTGGGGTAAGCTGGGTACCGCGCAGGCTCCGTCGCTGGTAGTACCCACAGGCCTCCTCAAACACCATATCCTTGTCTGAGGGAAGCTCAAGGCCTTGGGGAGCTTCCCAACCCACACAAAAGAGACCCAGGGCTGAAAGCAAGCAGAGAGCTCCTTGCATCTCCATGTCTTCCTCATTCTTCATGCCAGGGGCTGATGGCTCCAGCAGATGTACTTTATCTGTACTTAGGACCTTCCTTTCCAACAGCTGCCCGCTGCTCATGTCCAGTAGTTCCAACGTGGAGCCCAGGACACAGGCTAAGGTGCCATGAAATGTTCCCAGAGCTGCAGAACCCTTTAGGCCGACAGGGGCCTCCTGCAGGGTTCCCACAGTTCGAGTACCACCATGGCATTGCACTAGGCTCACCTTGCCTTTGAAGTCCAGCAACAACAAGCCATGGGAAGATGGGGCCCAGGTGTGGACAGCCAATGGCTCCCTGGGGGACAGGAACCCAGGAAGGCCTCGCAGCAGGGTCCGAAAGTCCCAGGTTTCTCCTTGTCTGGAATTCAGGCTTTTACTGTGAGAAAGGCCAAGAGATGGGGCGACAACTATCACCCTGCCCTTGCTTGGGTTCCAGATGAGCAGGACATGGGCCACGCCAGGCCAGGTGGTGGTAGTGGGCACCAGGAAGAGGTCCTTGCGGGAGGCTATCAGTCCAAAAGGGGGGCAGTGGTGCAGCAGGATGTGTGTGCGGCCTAGTTTGGTGCCAGCCTCCCCGCTGGTCTCCAGGGTCTTGACGCACACACGGTGGCTGAAAGCCATTGAAAGCTGCCTTGGCTGGTCCTCAACGCCAAGCTGCTCCTCACACCACACTAGGCGGCCTCGAGTTGCTGCCACGGCCAACAAGCGGGCTCCACCGTCGGGACACAACTCCGTGCTCTGAAGTAGCTTCCAGCCGGGCTCCATCCCCGTGCCCCACACCTCCACTAGGCCACTCTCCCACACCAAGATCAGCGCAGGTCGCGCCAGCCACGGGATGAAGAAGGCGTCCAGTGGCGAGGGGTGGCCCTCCGGCCAGGCACGCTCTAGTGTCAGGCCCGGCCCCCGCATTGACACTAGAAGTTGCGGGGCAGGCGACCCGGGGGATCTTAACAGCAGCAGGTGGCGGCCGTCAGGGCTGCAGCGGACTAGGACATCTGGGTCCCCGGCCAACAACTCGCGGAGCCGGGCCGCGCCGGTAAAGTTGCTCAAATCCGAAAGCAGGCGCAGAGTTCCAGCACGCTTCATGATGCCTCTGGCGCAGGAGCTCCCCAAGGGCCTGATCGCCCGGTGGGGAGACGCCCAGCTGCTAGTCCGTGGTGCCGGGGGGAGTGCACTTCCGTCCCTGGTGGATGAGGTGAGCCAAGCCCTGGCCTGAGTGTCGACTCCGCCCCGCCCCGCCCCGCCCCCCAGGCCGGTCCGGACTGCCCCGGGGCACGCCTGGCTAGCACGCCGTGGGAGGAGCTTCGGGAAGATCGTCGGGGGAGGAGCCTCCGCAGCACCCAGGGGTCTCAACCCTGGGACCCCACGTATCCTAGGCGTTGAGATAAACTATCAAGGCGTCCTTTTTTTTTTTCTTCCAGACCTCGTCCTTTCACCCGCAGTTATTCGTTCATCAAGGTTGAGTACCAACATTGTGTCAGCTCCCCCCCCCCCCCCCCCCCCCCCCCCCCCCAGCAAGACAGAAAACCTCAACCTCCGGAAATCTAGCGGGAAAACAGGAAGGTTAACGCTTCACTCACTGAGTGGTCCAGGCTGGCCTCGAACTCACAGAGCTTGGCCTGTCTCTGCCTTTCGAGTACTGGGATTAAAGGCATGTACTACCCCTGGTCTTTATACATATTTTTCAAAAGGTTAGCACACAATGTAATGATTTTCATCATTATAGCATCCCCTTCCTCCATATGCTTATTCCTTTGTGCACCTGTGGAGGCCAGAGGTCAGCCTCGATGTCTTTTCTGAGAAGCCATCTGTCTACATTGTTTTTTTTTTAATATTTATTTATTATGTATACAATATTCTGTCTGTGTGTATGCCTGCAGGCCAGAAGAGGGCATTACAGATGGTCATGAGCCACCATGTGGTTGCTGGGAATTGAACTCAGGACCTTTGGAAGAGCAGGCAATGCTCTTAACCTCTGAGCCATCTCTCCAGCCCTCTACATTGTTTTGAGACAGCTTCATTCACAAGGACTTGTCACCCATTAGGTTGTGCTAGGCAGCCAATGAGCTCCGGGGATCCTCCTGGTCTGCCTTCCACGCTGAGATTACAGGTTCAAATCACTTTAGCAAGAGCTGGGGATAAAACTGGGGTTTTCATGGGTTTGTTTTATTTTTTCTTCTTATTTTTTTATTATAAAATTCATTCTTTTATTATGTATACAGTGTTCTACCTGCATGTATTCCTACATGCTGGAAGAGGGCACCAGATCTCATTACAGATGGCTGTGAGCCACCATGTGGTTGCTGGGAATTGAACTCAGGACCTCTGGAAGAGCAGCAGTGCTCCTAACTTCTGAGCCATCTCTCCGTCTCCCCCTATTTTGGTTCTTAGAGACAGGGTTTCTCCATGTATTCCTGGCTGGTCTTGAACTCAGAGATACACCTGTCTCTGCCTCCCAAGTGCTAGGATTAAAGGCGTGCGCCACCTCCTGGTACACACTTTAGTGATGGAGCTACCACCACCACTCCTTATTATGGCATTTCCATACATACATATCCTTATATTTATTCCTGTTCATTCTCTTCCTCATTAACTTTTTTTCTTCTCATTTTTCGTACAAGGTTTCTCTGTGCAGCCTTGGTTGTCCTCGAACTCACTCTGTAGACCAGGCTGGCCTCAAACTCACAGTGATTCACCTGACCCTGCCTCCTGAGTGCTAGGATCAAAGACAGGCACTACTACCACCTGGTCTTCATTGTATTTTAAAATTAAATTTAGTTTGTGTGTGTTCAGGAGCTGGTTCTTGCCTTCTACCACATTGGTCCTGTGGTGGTTTGAATTAGAACGGCCTCCATAGGCTCATATATGTTGACCAAGGTTTCTGTGCTGCTGGGTTCCTGTGGTCGTTAAGTCCCAAGGAAATCATGCAGAGATCTACATTAATTATCAACTGATTGACCTAGTATCTCAGGCTTTTTATTAACTCTTTTTTTTTTTTTTTTGAGATAGGGTTTCTCCGTAGCTTTTGGTTCCTGTCCTGGAACTAGCTCTTGTAGACCAGGCTGGCCTTGAACTCACAGTGATCCGCCTGCCTCTGCCTCCCGAGTGCCCCGAGTGCTGGGATTAAAGGTGTGCGCCGCCACCGCCGGGCCTTATTAACTCTTATAACTTGTATTAGCCTTTAATTCTTTTTTTTTTTTTTTTAGTGAAAGCTCATGATTTTATTGTCTTCATAACAAGGTCAGCTTAGAACTGGATCACTTGGCCCTTTCTCTTCTTATCACCACCCAGTTCAAAATGCTTGCATCTCTTAATAGCCAGCATCCTCTTAGATCTGCAGTTGGGCTCCACACATTCCAGTCTCAGCACAATCTTTTTTGTAGTTTTCGCCTTTTTGCGGAAAACAGGCTTCGTCTGCCCACCATAGCCACTCTGTTTCCTGTCATAACGCCGCTTTCCCTGGGCATACAGAGAATCTTTGCCCTTCTTGTACTGGGTCACTTTGTGGGGTTGGTGTTTGCCACATTTCTTGCAGAATGTACGGCAGGTCTTAGGAACGTTCACCATGTTGGCGGGTGCGATATCGGCACAGAAAGAAAGTAGCCTTTAATTCTTATCTGTATTAGCCATGTGGCTTGGTACCTTTTTTGGCGAGGCAGTCACGTCTTGCTTGCTCTGTGTCTGGGTGACAACTGCAGACTGACTCTTTCTGTTTCCAGAATTCTCGTCACCCTGCCTCTACTTCCTGCCTGGCTACTGGCCAATCAGCATTTATTTAAAATGCAAGTGACAGGGTACAGCACATAAATTTGAATGTTTAGTCATTAGTGAGTGGCACTATTTGAAAAGAATTAGAAGGATTAGGAGGTGTGGCCTGTTGTGGTCCAGGACCAGCCAGCACCATAAATTATCTCTCAGACGAGTGGGGAGGCACGGGAATAAAGGCACAACTCACATGGCTTCATCAGGAGGGAGTTTTCAGTGATCTCTCATGAAATCCTGAGTTCACACCCTGAAATTTTCACCTGCATTCATTTTCCAAACAGCTTTTATACCAAAATGTAAACTGAGGGGGAAATTCATTAGCATTCTGTTTCCTAGGTAACTGGGAGACTGACTGTCGTCACATCCACACCTATCTATGCCTGCTCTGTCACACAGATTGAATTAACATCCAGGGGACCTCCCAAATTACAAAGAAGGAGCAGGATATTAGTATATCCTGACCCTTTGTTTAGGATGGCATCAGTTTGTCTCAACAGGCTAGGTGATCACCTCCTGATCACAGGCAGGTGCAAACTCTTCTGAAATTCTGACCGCCATAGATTTAGAATTATGGGCCTGTATAATATGGCCCTACAGTGGCCTTGTTGTCAGTGTATGTCCCTGGTGGTGGGCTTTGAGATGTCAAAAACCCACGCCAAGCCCAGTCTCTCATTCTCCGCCTGTGGATCAAGATGTAACTGTCAACTACTGCTTCAGCACCATGCTCTCTGCCAGGATGATAATGGGATAACTCTCTGAAACTGTAAGCAAGCCCCCAGTTAAACATTTTCTTTTATAACAATGGCTGTGGTTGTGGCGTCCATTCACAGCAATAGAATAGTGACTAAGACAAGTCCCAATGATCAAACTCAGGTGATGGAACCTGGTCCATGTGAAGCTGTGTGAGGAGATTTCTGGGACCTGTGAGGAAACTCCAAGTACACAAGAGTCTTGTGACCTCTGTTCCTCTATGACTGGGTTGTTCTTAGATGATGCGCTCATGCGCCTCTCAGGTGTAGTGGGAGTCCACTTTAGATTGTTCATTGTGGCTGGCTATTGTCTGTTTATTTGCCTCTATGGAAAACATGCTTTTATCCTTGTGATTTTGTTCTTTATTCAGGTGACTCTTCTTAACCCTCAGAGTGTAAACTGTCTGATGCTCCGAATAAAATTGGTTATTTCATGAGCCTTTAGGCAGCCTCGTTTTCAGGTCCTGCTCTCCCGGGTTCATCCTTCCAACTGGAGTGGTAAGCACTTAGGTTTATACTCACCCACCGAGTCGCCTCCTCAGTTCCTTATTACTATTTTTTTTGAGACAAATTCTCACTCTGTAGCCTAGTTTGTCCTTGAGCTCTTGACAATCCCCCTGCCTCAGCTTTCTGAATGCTGGTATTATAAGCTGTTGTTCCTGTGTATGCAATAACTACCATACCCTGCTCTTCACCTCCTGATTTATATGTAAGGTTCCTCTGCATTTTAGGGTCTTTGTTTTGTTTTGTTTTTTTTCAAGACAGGGTTTCTTTTCTTTAGAGCCTGTCCTGGAACTAGCTCTTGTAGACCAGGCTGGCCTCGAACTCACAGAGATCTGCCTGCCTCTGCCTCCGGAGTGCTGGGATTAAAGGAATGCACAACCACCGCCCAACGGATCTTTGTTTTTTTAATTGGGGTATTTTTTAAAATTTATTTTTAGTTTGGGGCTTTGGAGAGATGGTTAAGCCACTGAGAGAACTTTCTGCTTTTCAAGGGGACCTGAATTTGGTTTCCAGTACCCCCATCAGGCAGCTCACAACTGCCTGAAACTCCAGTTACAGGCAATCAGACTCTCTGTTTAGACTTCTACCTATACAGGGAGCCAGACACACACACACAAAAATAGAAATTAAAATCTTTTTTTTTGTTTGTTTGTTTGCTTTTTGTTTTTTGTTTTTCGAGACAGGGTTTCTCTGTAGCTTTGGTGCCCGTCCCGGAACTAGCTCTTGTAGACCAGGCTGGCCTCGAACTCCCAGAGATCCGCCAGCCTCTGCCTCCCGAGTTCTGGGATTAAAGGCGTGTGCCACCACCGCCCGGCCAGAAATTAAAATCTTAAAGTTTAATTTTAATGTGAGTGAGTGTGTGTGTGTGTGCACACCTTGTGTATGTAACTGGGCCAGAAGAGGACACTTGCTGAATATTTCTTTATACTGTGTGAAGATGTGTCATTGTGATTGGTTTAATAAAGAGCTGAATGGCCAATAGCTAGACAGGAAGAGGTTAGGCAGGGCTTCTGGGGCAGAGAGGTCTTGGGGAAGAAAATGCAGGAGGAGAGATAAAAGCCACGAGTCACATGACATCATGTAGATTAATAGAAGTGGGCTAATTTAAGTTATAAGAGCGAGTTAGAAACAAGCATAAACTGGGTGGTGGTGGTGCACACCTTAAATCCCAGCATCTCTGTGAGTCTGAGGCCAGCCTGGTCTACAGAGTCAGTTCCAGAGCAAGCTACAAAGCTACAAAGAAACCTTGCCTTAAACACCCCCCCAAAAAAAAGGGAAAAAAAAAGAAATAAAAAGAACGAGCCTAAGCCAAGCTTTCATAATTAATAAGTCTCTGTATCATGATTTGGGAGCTGGTGGTTCAAAACAGTCAGATGCTTCCTGAGTGCTGGGATTAAAGGCATGTGTGCCGCCACCACCACCAGACCCATCCCATCTTTTTTCCCCCAATAACCTGAAATGTTGGAGCTCAGATCTTTTATATGCTATTTATTTATTTATTTATTTATTTATTTATTATGTATACAATGTTCTGTCTGGATGCATGCCTGCAAGCCAGAAGAGGGCACTAGATCTCATTACAGATGGTTGTGAGCCACCATGTAGGTGCTGGGAATTGAACTCAGGACCTTTAGAAGAGTAGCTAGTGCTTTTAACCTCTGTGGCATCTCTCCAGCCTGGGCCCATTGAGTATTAATGGTGACGCCATCCCTCCAGCCCCTGCATTTTGGGTTTTTGAAAGTGCAAGCTGACCTTGAATTTACTCTGTAGTCTGTGTGCCGTGAACTCTCCATTGTCCTACCTCAGTCTCTCAGTATTGGTACTGCGTGCCTGTGATGCCACACACAACGTCAAAGACATTTTTATTTCCTGTTTCTTCTGAGGCATTGACAGTCCTACTGAAAGCCCACACTGCAGTCGCTTCTGCTGTGCCTTTGTTTGCTTTGATTTTTAGATATCATTGTCCTATGTGTTTTGTCTTGTCTTTGGCTTGCCATCTTCTCCTTCCTCTTGGCTTGAACAATTACTTCCAAGCCAATGGCTCTAAAGTGTTTAGCTACAGTCTAATTGTTCAGCTGAGTGCCAATAAAGGACATGTACATGTCTACTGGCTATTATCTCACAAACATCTTGATCCTAATGTGCCCTTAGTATATAACATCTTCCTGACCCAAATAATTTTTCCTCCAGTGGCTTTTTTTTGCCAAAGGTCTCTTTTCATCTTTTTGTTTGTTTGGTTTGTTTTTTCTTCAAGACACAGTTTCTCTTTCTCCCTGATTTTTCTGGAATCCTGCAGACCAGGTTGCCCTTGAACTGAGAGATAGGCCTGTCTCTGCCCCCTGAATGTAGGAACCAAAGTGTGTCCAAACTGCTGCCCGGTTTGCATTCCTTGATCAAGACTTAAAGCCTTTGGGACTGAATTTAGTCGCTAAATTCAAGTCATGTGTCTTCATTTACCCTGATTACTGAAGGCATGCTTCCTTTCTTTCATTTCCCTTCCTTCCCTCCCCCTCCCAATTCCCTCTCTTTCCCATCCGTTCTTCTTTGTTTTTTAAATGTGAATGGGTTTTTAGCCTTTATGAATGTGTACCTTGTGTGTGCCTGGTGTCCATAGAGGCCAGAAGATGGTGCTAGGGTGGGAGTTATAGGCGGCCATGAGCTGCCACATGGGTGCTGAAATCGAACCAGGTTCCCCTGGAAGAACAACAGTTCTCTTAACTGCTGAACCATGTCTCCAGTCACATTCCTTATTCTCAGTTTTTAAAGATATGGCCTCTTGGGCGCTGGAGAGATGGCTTAGCAGTTGAGAGCACTAGCTGCTCTTCCAGGGGTCCTGAGTTCAATTCCCAGCACCCACATGGTGGCTCACAACCATCTATAATGAGATCTGGTACCCTTTTCTGGCCTGCAGGCCTACATGCAGATAGAACTCTGTATTCATAATAAATAAATAAAGGACAGGCTGCCCTTGAATTCCCTGTAAAGATGAAGTTAACTGTGAACCTCTGATCCTCCTATTTCTATTTCCCAAGGCTGGGATTAACAGATGTGAAACATCATGCCTGGCTATCTACTTATGTTCTATTAGAGTACAACTCCTCTCTTATCCGTTCTGGATAATTTTATGTCAACTTACACAGGCAGAGTCATATGAGAGAAGGAAACCCCAGTTGAGAAAATGCTTCCATGAGATTAGGCTGTAGGTATCAGGCGGTGGTGGCGCCTGCCTTTAATCCCAGCACTCAGGAGGCAGAGGCAGGTCCATCTCTGTGAGTTTGAAGCCAGCTTTGACATCTACAGAATGAGTTCCAGGACAGCTAGAACTACACAGAGAAACCCTGTCCCGAAAAGAAAAACAAAAAACAAAAAACAAAGAACAACAAAATGGGCTGGAGGAAAATCTGTAGAGCCCTTTCTTAATTAGAGATTGATGTAGGGCCAGTCCATTGTGGGCGGGGCTACTCCTGGGGTGGTTCCACAGGAAAGCAGGCTGAGCAAGCCATGGGGAGCAAGCTGGTAAGCAGCACTCCTCCATGGCCTCTGCATCAGCGTCTGCCTCCAGGTTCTTGTCCTGACTTCCTTCAGTGATGGACTGATGGACTATGATGTGGAAGAAGCCAAAATAAACCCTTTCCTACCCAGCCTGCTCTTGGTCATGGTGTTTGTTACAGCAATAGTAACCCAAATTAAGACATGCTAATCGTGTCCTGGCTGTAGACCAGGCTGGCCTTGGACTCACAGAGATCCACCTATCTGTGTCTTGTGAGTGCTGGGATTAAAGGTGTGCACAATCATGGCCAGCTTTATTACCAACTTTTTAAATGAAACACAGAGTAATAAGCCAGCCAAGGCTACAGAAAATAAGAAACAAACACCCAACCCAACTTTTAATACCCCAAATGTTAAAGATGAGAAAAATAAGAATTTACCTATCTAGATCTGAGCATGGTGATGCTAGCCTCTAATCCCAGAGGCATGTGGATCTCTGAGTTTGAGGCCACTCTGGTGTACAGAATGAGTTCGAGGTCAGCCTGGTCTACATAGAGGGACCTTGTTTCAAATAATTTTTCATACACACACACTTTTTCAAATTCTTCTCTCTTACTAACTAGAACTGTAGGCAAAGTAGTCATGCAGAACTTTTGCTTTCTCATAAAACCTATTTCATAGTCATGAGATTAAAATGTACAAATCTGCATACTCTGGTACTTTTGTAGAGGTGGGGGTGGGGTAGTGAGAGAATGAATCCTGGGGCTCCCAAGCTAAGCAGGCACTCTCTCATACATCAGAAGCCAAAAGTCTCTTTGCATATTAGAAAACCGAGATTCTAGCGGGAACTGGTATGCAGGCCAGCAATTGCAGCATTTCTGGGAGGTATGGACAGGACTGCAACAAGTGGGACATCAGTCTGGTCTATGCGGCCCTTTCCAGTTCAACCAGGGGTACATAGTGAGATATTGTCTCAAAAAAATCAAACAACAAAACACAAAAGTGAGACTCAAGTTCCTTGCTACGATAATAAACTTTACATGCTGCTTTGCACACATTTATACACATTATTATTATTATTCGAGACAGGATTTTTCTGTGTAGCCCTGGTTGTCCTGAAATTCTCTCTGTACACCAGGCTGGCCTCGACCTCCCAGAGTTTTGCCTGCCTTTGTCTCCTGAGTGCTGGGAATAAAGTCATGCACCATTACCACTCCGCTACATTCTTTATTAATGCATGAGTTTATTTCCAATATTTTACTTAAACCAATGCGATATGCTGTGGTGGTGGCACAGGGCTTTAATTTCACTCAGAAGGCAAAGGCAGGCGGATCTCCGCTTTAAGTTTGAGTGCAGCCTGGTTTAAGTGGTTAGTTTCAGACCAGCCAATGCTACATAGTGAGTCTGTTTAAAAAAAAAATTGAAGCAAACATTTCCCGACATTTATACTTCCGAGTTTTTCCAGTGTTTTTAGAGAATTCACTTATTTCTAGAAAGAACTTCTGAGTTCAGTTTTCCCTATTTAAAACAAAACCAAAAAAAACCCTGCTATAGCGGACTTAAATCCGTGGCCTTAAACTAAGGCTAGTTCGCTCGCGATGCCTTTTGGGAGTTGTAGTCTTTGCGATGCTTGCTGGGAAACGTGGTCTGAGCCTACTTCAGGAAGCGGGCGTGGACGAACCTGAGGAAAGGAGGGTTTTAGGACCCGGCGGGGCACGGCGGACTAGGGTTAAGGATCGGGGAGGTCGGGAGCGCGCCCGCGATTCCGGAGCAGTGGCGGCCTTGCCGGAGTCGGGAGCGAGCAGGCCTGCGAGCAGCTGGGGTGCTGGAGGAGGAGCGGGGGGCTCGGTAAGCGGCACGGGCCCAGCCGGATCCTGAAACCTGGCCAACCCCTGCGGGTCCGCCCTAGTAGGCCTGGACCCAGAGGCGGCCCTGGGGGCGGGGCCTGGACCTGCCGCGGGGCCGTGGGGGGTGACGGGGCAGAGGGAGGGCTGTAGCTGCGGGGCCTGGGGTCGCGGTGTGGAGTTGCTCCCGCTGCTTTCGAACGCCCACTACCCGCCTGGTCCTGCCCCTCGGAAGTCGTGCCGAGGCCTCCGGATCCGGGAGGAGCTGACCTTTGACCCCAGTGTGGGGCTGACCCTAAGTGGGTCAGCTCCTAGGCGAGAGCGATCTCTTCCTAGGGAGGTGGGTCCCTTGCGAAGTGTTCAGATGCCTTGGAACGGCCGGTCCTGCGCTCTTCAATCTCCACCCGACAGTCTTCAGCACCCACTTCACGCAGAATTCATAAACCCACTTTGCTTTCATGGGATGAGTGGGTGCAAGCCGGGACACCCACCTCTTCCCTGGCGGGTATGGGGGAGAAAGAGAGTAGTCACTGGGGAAGTTGAGTGCTGTCCCTGGCGAATGGGACAGTGGATGGATAGTTGAGCGTGTCCTAATAAATGTTCCTGGACTATCGGAATCTCCCCAGCTCTTTTTTCCAGAAAAAGTTTTAAACTTAAGAACAAGCATGGTGTTTAAACGTGGTTTGTGTTAAAGCTACCATAAGAGGCCCTGTATCCCTGGCCGGTTCGGAACTAGCTGTGTAGACCAGGCTAACCTCCAGCTCGCAGAGATTCTTCTGGCTCTCCCTTCCAAATGCTGTGATTTCAGCATACCCCACCGTGCTCAGCTTCTCTCTTGCCTGTGATTTAGCAGTTACTTGGAGTTGTCTTTGGTAGGTTTTAGATTGGATTTGTACGCAATAGTCATTTCCTTTTGAAGGCTTTCAAGACAGCAAATCAAACAAGGGATTTGATAACTCCTATTAGGAGTGTAGAGGGAGTTCTCATTCTTTTCTTAATGAATAAGCAAACCTTTAATGTGTTTTTATTATGACAGTCATTATGCCTTGTCATGTTAAATATTGCTCTCAGCCCGTAGGAGGTTGAAACAGGAGGATTACTGAGAATTTGAAGCCAGTCTGACATACTCGTTGAGTTCAAGGCAAACTTGAGCAACTTAGTCTCCCAAATTACCAAACATGAAAACAAACGTCAGACAACTCAAAACCCAGAATTTGGGATGGAGACATGGCTAGAGGCTAAGAGCGTTTACTGCTCTTTCAGAAGACCCCAGTTCAGTTCCTTGTTCCCACACTAGGCAGCTCACAGCCACTTGTAACTCCAGGTCCCCAGGATCTGGCGTCTTTGGCTTTGAGGGCACTCACCCTTTTGAACACCATACCCATACACAGATACAAACACGCATATCAAAAAATAATAACATAAACGTGAGAACAATAGCCAGACTAACCCAGAATTTGGGGTTTCACACAGCACAGCTTAGGGATTCATAAAGTTTGGAAAGTATTGACCACATATTTGAAGAAAGTTCTCTGGGAGTGTGTGTTAGGAATCTGTAAAGACGTTTGTACAAAGGGAAGATTCATTGCCTCAGGTCTCGGTCAGGAGATCTTCGCAGGGAGGATCATCTGAACTGTGTGCTGAAGGTTAAGCAGGAGCTTGCACAATAAACCTTTTGAGTCACAGAGGCACGGTGTGGTGTGAAGGGAAAAACCCAACATGGTGTTTATGCGGGGGTCAAGAATTCATCCCAAACAGGGTGTATGCTGAGGAGTTGTTTGGAGGGGAGATTGCAAAGAGGGCAGGGAAGCCGCTGATGCTTTAAAAAAATTACTGTATGTGCATATATGCTTATATATGCCGTGTGTGTGTGTGTGTGTGTGTGTGTGTGTGTGTGTGTGTGTGTGTACCTCTTGTGCCTGGTGCCTGCATAGGCCAGAAGAGGGCATCAGATCCCTTGTAACTGGAGCTGCACATGGCTGTGAGCTGTCCTGTGGGTGCTGGGCCTTGAGCCCTGGTCCTCTGGAAGAGCACCCAGTAGTCTTAACAGCTGAGCCATCTCTCCGGCCCTGTTACATTTTTATCGAGTTGCAGAAGTGCAGATTAAGAGACAGATAAGGAAAGATGAGATAGGGTTGTTAGAGTGGTACCTATTTTATGTGATGGTTGTAAGGAATAAACATAGAGAATTTAACACATGGAGAGTAGTGCCAAGTGCTAATCAGTCTCCGCTGTGGTGTGTTAGGGAATTTCACCTTCAGATCGGAGGCCGACTCTGAAGATAGGGAATTGACTGAAGAATCCCACGTTCAGGAATCAGAAGTGGAGCAGTGATAGGGTGAAGACGGAATCCTGTCCTGGGCCCGTGAGGGCTTTAGGGAGATGGCGGCAAGAGTGCAAGCCTGCTCTGCTTTCATTTTGGAAAAAGGCTTGGAGTAACTAGCAGTAGAGATCTGGCTGGTTAGGTGAGTTGGTTACAGTGTGGTGCAAATGGCAGGAATGACGAAGAAACCAGAAGGGCTTTTCTATTTGTTTCCCGGCCTTTTGGCTAGAAGTTGGAGAACCTGTTGTCCATGCTTGTAAGAGAGCCTGTGCCAAGAAATCATGTGAAAGTCAGTCAAGTCCTCAGGCTTTCAGATGGAAGGAGGCATCGCATGCACAAGGTAGAAAAGCCTGCGTTTTAATGATGTAGGCCAGCGAATGTGGTAGGTCTTACAGAAGGGTGTAGGAAGCAGGTAACTAGATGTTTCTCTTCAGTGTTAGGGATAGAACCCAGGGCTTCTCTGGAATGGGATGTAGCCAGGCAAAGTCTACACCCCTGGCTTTGCCTAAACGTGCGCACGCACACACACACGCACACACACAGACACACACACACACACATTAAATCTTTTTATCTGTAGTGACCAGGAGGCTTTAGGAGAGCCAGGTTAGAAGTCTGTTTTTAGCTTGTTATAAATGTGTTGTCTCTCTTAGGTACTAGGTGAAGAATGACTCATGGCAGAACTGTCCACTATGAGATCCTTTGACTCGAAGTGATTGTTAAAAATGGCCATGAAAAATTCACTTTGATAAACTATTGTTTTATTTGTATTTTGAGACAGGGTCTTGACATATAGCTCAGGCAGGGCTTGACCTGGCAGTGACCTTCCTGTTTCAGCCTCTTGAATGTTGCAGTTATAGACACATGATATAACACCTGGTGTTTTGTGGATGTATGCCCATGTGTGTGCCAGACATTGCTCTTGATACTCTTTGATACAGTTCTCTCACTGAATGTGAAATTTGGTGATGAGCTACACTGGCTGGCTGTTCACTCCCCAATGTTGGGGGTACAGATGCTCAAACTCATCAGGTAGCTGTTGAATTCTTGATTCTTGCCCCCACTCATTAATTCTGGGATTAGAAGCACAAAGGCCAGTTTAGATGAGTGGTTCTCAAGCATTAGAATTACTTGGAGTAGGGTTTGTTAACTTTGCCATTGTTGGCATATTGGGGTGGGTACTTCCTTGTTAGAAAGATTCCTTTTTTTTTTTTTTTTTTTTTTTTTTATTTTTAAAGACAGGGTTTCTCTGTGGTTTTGGAGCCTGTCCTGGAACTAGCTCTTGTAGACCAGGCTGGTCTCGAACTCCCAGAGATCTGCCTGCCTCTGCCTCCCGAGTGCTGGGATTAAAGGTGTGCGCCACCATCGCCCGGCTGAGAAGATTTCTTGTACACTGTAGGATACCCCTGGCCTCTACCAGGTGGATTCCATTTGTATTTCTCCTGGTTGGAACAACCTAAAATGTCTCTAGACTTTGACAAATGTCCTATAGGGACATTAGAAACCACCGACCTAGAGTGATTATTAAAAATGTAGGACTCCCCCACCCAAGATGGGTATGGTGTACCATGCCTTTACTTCCATAATTTGGGAGGCAGAGGCAGGTGAACCTTTGTGAGTTCTAGGCCAGCCTGGTCTATGTAGTGAATTTCAGGATAGCCAGGCTTACATAGAGAGAACCTATTTCAACAAAGGAACAAGAAAATGTAGACTGTAGTCGGACTTTCCTTGGACTGTTTGCCCCCAAATGACATGGAGACTGATTAATTTTAGCTTAGGCTTATTCTCAAGTAGCTCTTGTAACTTAAATTTATCTGTTTCTATTAATCTGCATTCTGCCATTTGACTTTTTACCTCCTCCATTCTGTATGTTTGACTTCCTTCGTGTCTTGCTAGCTTCTCCTGACACCAAATTCACCCCCCTGAGTTCCTCTCTCTGCCTGGAGGTCCCAGCTAACCTCTCCTCCTAGCTATTGACAGTCCAGCTTTTTGTTAAACCAGTTACAGAAACACATCTTCATACAGTGCACAAATACCTGTAATATTTTCCTGGTTTTGCTAAATAAAAAGGAAAGGGTTTAACTCTAAACCAGTAAAACTATATACAATATGAACAGTTATCAAGTTAGGATTACATTCATAATGTCCATTTGTATTGGGCAAATTCAGAGAAATTACTATATATCCTATCTTGATGAGTCCAAAGTTTTATACCTAAACCACTTTCTATCATAGTTTGTATTACTATCCTAAAAATTATCTGTTTAGGCTGGGCAGTGGTGGCACAAACCTTTAATCCCAGCACTCGGGAGGCAGAGGCAGATCTCTGTGAGTTCAAGGCTAGCCTGGTCTACAAGAGCTAGTTCCAGGACAGGCTCTAAAGCTACAGAGAGACCTTGTCTTGAAAAAACCAAACCAAAACAAAACAAAAAAAAACCCTTTTTATACCTTAAAACATTTTCTTAGATAAACAACTTAAACTTTTATGTCTTTCAACCTTATAAACTTTATATCCATCTCTTTTGTAAGTTTCTTTTCTGAATTTGGTAAGAAAGAAAACAGCTTAACTATCTAATCATCAACCCCATCAGAGACCTGGGAAGGATAAAAATATTACCTGAGTAAACAGGAAGTGTAGAGTAAGCAACGTCCAAAACTATAGAAATCACAGAAAGCTGGCT